AGGGAGCCGTGAGAGGGGAGGGGGGGGAGGAGGGAGCCGCTCACAGGAACCCTCCGAAAAAAAGATGGCGGCGGGCTCGGATCTGCTGGATGAGGTTTTCCTGAACACGGAGGTGGATGAGAAGGTGGTGAGCGACCTGGTGGGCTCCCTGGAGTCCCAGCTGGCGGCCTCCGGCCACCACCACCAGCACCACAAGGCGCAGGAGCCCCTGAGGGCCGCTGGGGGGCTGCTGGGGAACCATGTTGTGAGCAGCAGCAGTAGCAGCAGCAGCCCTAGCCCCAGCCCTGGAGGAGTAGTAGTAGGAGGCAATGCTAATGCCCAAACAGAGAGCAGCAGCGGCAGCAAGATGGGACTGAGTGCCCCAGAGATCACAAAAGCAGGTAACGTGGGCAGGGGTGGGGGGCTCTGAGGGAGAGGGGCCCTCCCCTCCCCCCACTCCCCAGCTCCCGCTGCCTCCTTCCCTCACTGCTTTCCCCCCTTTTCCCTCTCTCCTCCTTCTCGTTGTGGCAGGAGCGGGAGTGCAAAGGGTGGTATCGATCATACGGGGGAGAGCCTCCCCTCATCATGCCCCCTCGGTGTATGTCCGCGCCTCTGCTCCCTCCCCTTTATTTTCCCTCCTCGCCTGTGCTTACTCGAGGGTGTTGGATCATGTGTGGGGGCAGCCGCCCCGCAGAAGGAGCCGGCAGTGCCCGTCCGTGACTCTGCCGGTCCCCTCTGCTTTTCCTGCCCTTGTTGCTGGAGTGTAAAAGGGCTCTGTTAATCTCGGGGACTGAAGGAGGCAGAGCCCACCCCCTTGGTCATGGCTGTGCCTCCCATGCCGCCTGTGATTGCTCCCCTTCCCTTTCCAGGGGTGGAGGTTATGGGGGGATTCCCTCTTGATAATGCCGCCTTAGCTGTCTGTGTAAATGCTCCTTCCCCTCCCCCTTCGCTGTTGCTGAAGTGGAAGGGGGTGTTATTAATCATGACACCTATTTCCTGTAGAGGAGGAAGCGAGGGGGGATTTCAAGGGGAGGAAGTCCCTCAAAATGCTTCCCCCCCATATCTGCCTGCGTTGATATTCCCCCCGCACCCCCTCCCTTGTTCCAGGGGCTTGGAGGGGGCATCCAACACCTCCCATTCCTCCTCTGCCCTCAAGGGGGGGTTGTCACAACGCCGGGTCCCGGGAAGGGGGGGAATTCAGGCCACAACACCCCACCTTGCACAGCGCCT